AATTATCAGTTGCCGGATTTCAATCTAATGGTGAGCATGGATATTGTGCCTCATCACTGAGTAGGAGATCAAGATTGTGTGAAAGATAAGGACTGTTCCTAGGTCTCTTCCAAAACTGAGCATGAAAATCCTTGATGAGTTTATCCCAATACATTTAAACCGAGACACTACAGGTGAAGGGAAAACACTAATAATTATGAAAAGACAAAAAAGCATACCAGGACATGATCATTCCTCTGTTTCCGACGTTTCATAGAAGCCTGAATTTGCAATTGGTATTCACGAACAGCATTAAGTATTTCTGTAAAGAATTTTCTTTTCCTAGTCTCGATATTGTTCTTCTCCTCCTCTTCTAACCTTGAGAGGCGCTGCATCAAAGGTATGCTACTGTATCAGCAGCTTTCAGGATGCACTGATGCACTAAACATACATATAAAAAATTATGAAATGCCCCAGATATTTTATAGCCTTCATGTCAACAAAATTAAACCTCACGTTTACTCGTTATTAACACCAAAAGAAGGTAGCCTGAAAAAAAACAAGGACAGCAATTTTGGCACTTCTCTTATCGCCATATGCACACCAAACTGAATACTTTACAATTTCTTCTACATTCACAGGCGGAGTGCCTAAGACTAAAAGAGGAGTGTTAAAATTACTAGCCAAATACAATCAATCAAAGACTGCCACCCCATTCTGTCAATTCTATGTTACTCTAAATACCCAGATTTCATTATCCCCATCGAAGTGTGACCATTTCAAATAAGTAAAGCATGTATTAGGATAGAACCTCAGCATCTCGTTTCTTCCTGAACTGATCATCAGCCTCCATGGCAAAAGCATCTCCAACACCATATAGTGGACGACGCAATCGCATCATGCCCCAGTCAAACAATGTTTTGTCAGGATGCTCACAATGCATACGGAGTGAGTATTCTGAACTCACTTCAGAGCGAACCTTCTTTTGCAATTCTGCAAGCTGCTAGAATAGAAGTCCTTGCCAACAAGGACATATGCATATCATCCATCGGTACCAGAAAATATAAAACATAACATTCTGAATAACAATCACAATAATGACTTTTTCCGTTGTATATTTTAGGAAAATGGAAAATGCTAACAGGTACATAAAAGTTTTTGACTCACAGGCAAAAACAAAAAGTGTCCTTCTGAAATGGAAATTTCAAAATAATTTCAGTACATCAAGTTTACCTTTAGCCCATAGAGTTCGAGCAAGCACTTTGTCTGCAGGTCCTCTCCTCTACTTGAAGGTAATTCTGATTCAAAATCAGTAGTAAGGCTAGACAAAAACTGCACATAAAAACACTAACGGGACTCCAAAAGCAATTTAGAACGCTACTCATAGGGTTGAAGTAATAATTTCTGGCTGATCATTGAATTAAGTACATTACTGGTTAAAACATGGCCCAAAGGTGCAAAAACGATGTGGTCTTCCAATTAAGTGCAATGCAGTTTAAGATATGAACAGATGACCACTATGGTTCTTTTGCAGGAAAAACTTGCAGACCCAAGACCTAGTCTAACCTGACCCAGAGGTCACATTATAATCAAATTAGTAACTTTCACATCTACTTTAAAATGTGGGTGAGAGGACAGTAGCCAACCAGATCAATCATAAAAAATATTCAACTTTTCCTTCTTCTTTTGTTCTTTCTTTCCTTCACATTGTTTGAATGCGCAGAAATTTCTACATACAACAACTAGGAGCCTATTGATAAAACATTATATCGCCACTCTACCAAACATACAAAAGTGCTATTAGATGCTGAATAAATATCATTCATAAAGTTTAGCAGGAATGGCAAATGAGCAACGGAATGTGAAACACCAGTGATTAGTTCTCATGAAATTGTAAAAGCTAGTCACCTTCAAGTTCGGTTAACCGATGCTGAATGTGGCTTTCATAACGTTTTTGTTTCGATTCTATTAATGAAGCACCGGAGATGAAATTTTGACGTTGTTCCAACAGTGCATCTCCAAGGTCTGCTAACAAATCCTCTTCTAAAGCAGAACTATGAGGGCCATCCTGCAAGCATTACATATCTCAAAGTTACTAAATTTCGAATCAACGAAGCAAAAAGATAAACAAAAACAAGCTGCAAAAAAAAAAAAAAACCCCTTCATATTCCAGTGAACAATTTAAATTGAGTTAACACATAAAGGTCGAAACTTTTTCCTCCAAAATCTCATATTTCACAACCTTCAACCAAACCCTGAAATCGAAACGAACCCAAACCGCTAATTCACACAAAAAACCAACCCAAGACGCCAAATTGGCAAGAACCCAAGAACCAAAACCCAAAACTTGGAAAAGCCAAAAGGGAGTGGGAAGCAACCGTACCAAACCCTCGTCACCGTCGAGAAGGGCATCCGGGGCGCATTCATAGATGGAAGAAACGACGTCGAATAGGTCGGGAGGGAGGGGGAGGTTGCGGGAGAGGAGGTTGAGGGCGCAGATCAGGGACTTGGTCTTGTGGACGTGGTCGAGGCTGGCGCTGCTGCTGTCCAGCTCGGCCATGGGGGACCTTGGCGGGAGAGAAAGAACGCACGGACCCCCCCTCCCAAATACGATCTGATTTCAAACGGTCGTTTTTTGAAATGAATTATTTTTGGGGAGGAATTTTTATCTGTGAGATGTTGCCTTACAAATATCACACGCTCTCTCACTCTCTCTCTTCCCCTCTCTCTCTCTCTCTCTCTCTCTCTCTCTCTCTGTTTATCAGATTACTTTGGTTGTTGTCTTCGTTTCGGCGTTCGGGTGGGTTTTGTCGCTCCCTTTTTTCTGTTTTGGGTTTTATTGGAAAAATCACGACCGAATTATTGTACTTGTGGTGTTGCCAAACACGGTTCTATGTTTTGTTGTTTGACGGAAATACCCCTGGGCGGATGAGAAATAGTGACAGTTATACCTAGGGGTTGAAATTTTTACCAAATTACGGTAACAACCGTCCTACTATCTATACCATTCCAAATTATTACCAAAAATTTGTACCAATTGGTAATGGTACAGTACTTGTACCATATTGTTTCGGTACGGTACTGGTATCCAAAACCAGTACCGGTGGTATACCGTACCTACCAATATTACTAATATTATATTATGTATTTATTCATATAATTATTTGAGAGTAAAATTAATAATAATTATTGTAAAAGTGTAAAAAATGTAAAAAAAAAAAATATATATATATACACAATTACTCATAGTGACAAGCTTTACAACTTTTATGAAAGGTCAACTTCAAAATCCAACACTATAATCCATAAACCTTAAATTTATATTTAACCGTCGATTGTCATTTACACTTTATTCTTCTTACTGAATTTCATTTATAAAATTTTGTTTTTTGAAAACATGATCATCTAGGCGGATGTAAGAAGATGAACGGTTCAGATCTTTGATATCACGTTTCGATATTTACGGTTAACTGAAATACGAGTTAATGTCATATAGTTTGTAGAAGCTTTATAAACATCAAGCAATATTTTCACTAACCGTAAAACTCTGAACATAATATCAACGATTCAAACCGTTCATCTTCCTACATCCTCTAATAAATCATGTTTTCAAAAAAAAAAATTCAAAAAAAAAAAAAATTTGATGAGAAAAATGAAGCGTAATTGTAAACAACAATCAACTGTTAAATTTTGATCTATGATTTATATGATTATAATGACAAATTTCAAAGTGAAGCTCTTCACGAAAGTTGTAAAGTTTGTTATTACGAGCATTTATATATTTTTTCTATATTTTTTACACTTCTACATTAATTAAAAAATATTAGATTTTGGGTAAACTAAGTGGCGTAAAATAAAGTGGCAATTACCATTGGCATACCATACCAACCAACTTTCGGTATACCAAAAGTTTGGTACGGTAATGGTAATAAATTTTGCTATACCAAATATTTGATATGATAATTGGTACAGAGGTTTTGGTACATTACCACCAAAACCACCCCTATGTTATACCGGCTGTGCCCTTTTCTACTCTTTTTTGGTTTTTTTTATTAGAGGAGAAATTACAGAGTCTATGTTTGAGGTCTTCTTTTTTTCCAAAGGATTTTTTGGGTAATGTCATTTGTTTCCAACTGACTTTTATTTTATGGTTTTTTTTTTCACTTATGAACTTGTAGATTTAATTTTGATAATTGAAGCCGCGTAGTTTGCTAAACATTTCAATTAAGGACAAGACGTTTAAATCATGAAACGGGATTTGACCTTTTTATCATGTGATAGACATGTGAAGTGGCAAAATCGACCTATTAGAGCTTAGTCAATTTTATTTGCGGTTCGATATGCACTTTACCGTTACCTGAAGTGACTATCTTGGTAATGATTATTTTTCAAAGTGTGACTATACACTCTTTTACTTTTCACATATTCTTCTAAATTTCTATCGTCGAATTGAATGAATTGAAGATGATCAAAGAACATAAATTAACACATGTGTGTATAAGGTAAAAAGTGATGTGTGGATAGCACCACCATTTTTGAAATTGTAACCAATCAAATTGATCGATTTAGTTTTCGGTTTTTATTCTTCAATAAATATTAATATTTTGCATTTTCACATCCAAAACTAATAAGCCAAATCACCTATCCCATTTTGGTAGATGTGAGTTGGGTTTGGTTATGACAAACACACCGTCCCATTTTTCACACCCAAGTTCGAATCCCCCATTGACAAAAATAAAAGATAAAAAATAAAAATTTTGAATCCCCCCCCCCATCTATAAATTAGAGTAATTTTATTTTCAAAATATCGTATTATTAACAATACTTGAAATCCATATTTGGTTATTGGCTTTCTTTTTTTAACAAACGGTAGCATATGCGCGTTAAATTATTAGTTGTATAGGGGAGGGAGACCAAACTTACACAAGATACATAAACATAATTACTTTCCGTCCACTGCAGTAAAACATCATGTGCTGGTTATTGGCTTTCTTAGATTCCAATAAGATGGCGACAATACATCAAAGTTAACTAAAACTTCTCATAAATATTCTTAAGGACAGTGATTTCATCAATAAAATGAACAAATTGTAAGATGATGTAACCATTTCAGCTCCCAAAAAAAAATGTCTCACGCGTTTACAACAAGAAAAGAATGAGCTCATGCTCCGAAATTCACTAGCTGCGCTCGATCCACCTACTCGAAGCGCCAATACAAAAGCTCTTCAATACTAACCCGGACTACAACATCATTGACGCTTCTGACCATACTTTCCTTCCAACCTATCAGCTTAATTTGGATCACAAATTGTACGCTTAATCGTGCAGTTCAAGGTTGAGCTTGTGGACTAGTTGCGAAAAAACAAATGAACAAAAAAGAAGAGGATAATCTGCTGCCACAAAATTGCCATTCTCGCCTTTCATGACGTTAGAAGCCAAGTTACGATGAGGAAGAATCGTGAATTGATTTCAGGTTCCCTGTGATCTTGACAACTGTGGGAATTCTTAATGTCCTTCAATGAGTTCTCTTCAATGCTCGGCTGATTGGTTCTTGGAAATACTGAAGTGATATGAGAATGGCTTCCTGCTCATGCAGAAGCAAATATTCGAAATGGTATCACAGTATTTTCAGTAAGAACTTTTCATGCATAAGCAGAAGAGCAAAGAGTTCGTCATAAGTACCTCTGTTCGAATTGTTCGACTCCCTTGATGCGGGCATGTGTTCAAATACAAATCAAATACCTCTCGCACATTCTTTGCCTGCAAAAAGATCCAATAAAAACAGAATTCAATCACTGTTTCCTTTCTATATTTTTACTTTCAGTTAAGCTAGCTACTAGATGTTTTGCCTCATGCAATGCGTTTCCAAGATCATAAAGATGTTCACAAGTCCATAAGGGGCTGTTTTCTGTCCTAACAAATCTTTTAGATTGCTCAGATGTACGGATTAGTTTTTTTTTACTACTCAATATCTACTTTAAGTTGTAAAACCAAGGCCCTGATCAATGCACAGTATCACACTAAAGCCCTAAGAACCGTACCTTTAAGTTAGCATCCTCTTCAACGCTCTCTTCCAACCCAGCAAGTCCACCAAAAGCAATCAATAGATGCCTACCAAAATATTCATTCAGTCAATTAACAAGTATCTAATTTCACATTTGCCTCATGCTAAAAAAATTTTGTAATATAGTTGCAAGAAGTAATACTACGAAGATATAAAGTGTCTAAAAATAAAAATCAAAGGAATTCTGATATGTTGCTAAAAAACTAATTATAAAAAAAAATTCAAATACCCATGATGCTTTAACACAACTGAATACAGTCATCTATTCAAATAAAAAAATATTGACTGAAAAAATGCTTGTACAATTTTCATTTTCTGTGTAATAACTTTAATGCAACTTTACAGATAGAATATTGTAATAGAGATGAAACAGTTGCCCCAAGCCAATCTCTGAGAAGACCCGCCAGGCGAACTTACTTAACCAGAAAACTAAAGAACCCACGTAAGGTAACAATTGAAGTACCTATAGAAAAGAAATGGAAGGAGTATCATGTTATTTTTCTCCATATCCCTAAAAGAATGTGCATCTAGAAAGAGGTTAACAGATTGAAAGAGACTGAAATTCCATCCCAGGTACAACAAGAGCCTGCCCAATAACTAAGCAATCTAATCAATGAATACAAACTACAGTAGGCATCTATCAAATTACAGCATACAGAGAACAATAATTGCCTTCAGTGGCTAAAGACCAGCTACCCAGATAATGCGAAATGCAGAGCATCTAAGGAAAAAAAATGTTATTAATGGTTAGTACATTCAGAGAAAAGTACCTGAAGGTAGGTATAGTGAGATCATAGGAATTAATAATCTGACCGTGCTCTGATGTACCAATTGAATGATCATAGCCTCCCTGTGATTGAATAACAGAAGTTGGTAAAGAAACGCCATATCTGAATGGTTAATAAGAAACCATGTATTTAAGGGAAGGGGCTGTGAGAGAGAGAGAGAGAGAGAGAGAGTCAATGCATGAATACCTTGTATGGGCATTCATTCATTACTGAAGTAATATTGGAAGCATAGCGCACTTTGTACCCCCAATAAGTTCCTGCTTCTTCCCTAGGCTTTGAGGATGAGACAACCTGCCGTGAGATATCTAGATCAATGCAATAGAAAAGGCCAATACCCACATAAGATTCATAGTCAACAGCAAAAGCCTCCACTAATGGTCAAGAGAGAGAATAGGAAAGGCCAAAAATAAAATTCAGGACAAAATCATTACCAGCATCCAAGTTCCAACTGGCCCCCATAGCCACAGTAACTCTGGTTCCAGGATCAAGTACTTGATCAACAATGACATTCTGCATATTCCACCATTAAATTAACTAATGGTTAAGTCAGGAGGGAAAGCGAGGAAGAAACTATCAAGTTGCAGTACAACTAGAATGTGAGAGAGTACCTTACTCAAGCCCACATCAACTGATGTTCCCACAAGGTTGGGAGGTCTTTCTTTCAGTGTGACACCTATACATTTAACGCAAGCTCTCAAAGTTATTTGGTCATAGGTCTAAACAGAAAGAACAAACAACCAAACAAAACTAAGTGGTACAATCCCATCATCCCATGTAAGTCCGAAGTCTGGACCATTTCATTCATCATGTTGGTTCTTGTTCAATATCTTGAACATTGTCATCTTTTAAGCAAGTATCAGACAAGTTTTTGTATTTTAGAAGAAGCATTATTTCAATATCTTACCTTCCCGAAACGGACCCCATTCATGTTTTCGCAGATGGTGCGGAGCATCAAGCGGGGGCAACATACCCTATCAAACCAATGTAAGTCGAGAATACAAGCTGATAATAAACAAAAACAACATATGACGCATAATTGAAGAACTCACCACATATCTTAAGCTGTTGTGTTTCGGAAACAGAGCTTTTCTCAAATACTGAGGTGTCTCAAGGTACCTCAAGATTCGTACAAGAAAAGCAGCACCACTTTCATTCTCATCCGAATCAGCTTCTGGCAATGAGCCAGACTCACTCTTATTGTCAAATATCACCACCTGTTTACACAATAATCAACAACAAAATAGACTAATATGCTCATTTAAACATCAACTGATATAACTAAGGGGCCTTTTGGGATTGCTTCTATAGAAACCACTAATGTCGCGAGCGCTTTCGCTAAAAGTGCTTTCATTTATAAACAAGATAAAATTTTTGTTTACAATCCAAGTGCTTTTCCAGCTTGGAAGTGCTTCCTGAAGAAGCATTTTCGTAGCTACTTCTCCAGAAATCGTTCTCTGAGCCATAAGCACTTCTAAACTTTTCTGCCAAACGCAGACAGAAGCACTTATGGCTGTCAAGAAGCGCTTTTAGCCTCTAATTTTGGTAATCATAGTTCAAATAAACAAGTTTAAAGATTAAAACCTCGTCGATTCGGAAAATCGTCGCAGCACGAGCAATCTGACTGGCCAACTGAGAAATATTTGGCAATAAATAAAATTAATTAATTAGCAAATTGAAGAGGAAGTGAAACGATAAACAGAAAGCAAATATCCGTTTGGACGGAGAGAAAATATACTCTGGTGGCGAGTTCGAGGGATTGAGTGTTATCGATGATTGAACCGGGGACGGCGACGCTCACGGTGGGTATCACGGCGGCCCCGTCGACTTTGTGCTTCTTCTTCTTCTTCTCTTTCTTATGAGAATCTCCATTGGCAATGTCGACTTTGTTATCTTCTGGTTGTGCTTCTGCTTCTGATTCGGCTCTCTTCTTCTTCCCCATTTCTGTTCGACGTGGTCGTTTGGGTCCTTACCGCGCCTTTCCAGGGGTTTTTTGAGAGTTCAGGGTTTTTTTGTTTCAAAGCAAATACGCTCAGAAAACTAAAGAATAGTGTTAGAAAAATTAAATTTATATATAAAATTTTATAAATTAAACGGCATAGAAGTTGATGACTGATGTGACATCCCGTCCTGGAATTATCGGAAACGTACGTATGAAATTACCATTTTACCCCTAGTTTGTTTTGTTATGTTGTTTGGTTGTTTGTGTGGTGTTGGCAAGCGTTGGGCCACACACACACTGTCTCACTCTCCCTCACCCTCTGTCATTTTCTCTGTCTCTCTCTCCCTCCCGTGCTTCCTTTCCCCTTCCTTTTCACCATATACGGACCAAACCCAAAACCCACCAAATCTTTATAGATCGAGGGAACCAAGACCACCATCGTGCTTGTGAGGCTGAGAGGAGTCCAGTGGTGCCATTTTCAGGTAAGAACTTCGACGTTTTCACATCGATATCGCCATGTCCGTTTTAGTTACTGTTCATGCAAGATTAATTTAGTGAGTTTTTGGACATTTGAAGCTTATAGTTGTGTTTGTGAGGTTCCCAGGAGCTTGGGAGTAGCTCGTTGGGTGAATTTGGACGTCAGGATCGTTGGATGTGGAGTTGGCCGAGTTTTGGAGATTTGGACAGGTATAATCTCGTAATTTTAGGCCTTAAAACTTGTTGGGACATGTTCTACTAGCTCTAGGGTTGATTTTGGTGCAAGAAACATGAAAAAAGGTGGAAAAACGAGCGAGAAATCGCGATTTGCAGGTTTTCCGGCGACGGCGCCGGCGACGGGGACTGATCGGAGAAGGAGACGGAATATTCCGTTAGTTCAACGGAATATTTCTGACGGCGTCACTTGACACCGTCAGTGTGCATGGCACGTGGCCGCGCGTGGGGTCGCGTAGGTCCGTGCCTATTTTGGCGCGTGGGGGCGCGTGAGGGGTCCAAAAATTATTTTAAAATTATGGTTGTGATCCTGAGGTTGTGTAGATCACGTTGGTATATTCATTTGTCCATTTTGAGCAAGTATACAGGTTTTACGGCGATCGGTTAGAATGTATTTTATGAAATGGTTTTCAAAGAAATTGTTTTTGCCCACTCACGCTTTTATTTTGCGCCCCTCCAGGTTCTAGTAGCTTAGCGAGTTCGGTGGTTTTTCCCAGAGGACGTCCCGGCATTTCTGACAGACACTCATCGATGTAGGGTCACCTTCGGGTGCACTTTTGTTGTATCTTTTCCTTTGGACTGCTGTAGGCCTTAGGCTCTGAATTCAGCGTCTCACATGCGCTAGCACTTATCTTATCACTTTATGTTTGCTAGTTTTTAAATTATTTGTACTTTTATATTATTTCCTTTAGCTTCCGCACTGTGCACATGGCTACGTCACTTCCACGTGACGGCCAGTATGCCCTAGCCTCGGTTGGGGTGTGTCAATTGAATTATTATTTAAGGTTTAATAAACGTGCTTATTTTTATTGATGACGCATCATAAAATTTGTAAATTTAATCTCTCTAGCATTATCCTTGAAAAATAAAGTTTGGAGCTTGTAAATGGGAAATTCTAACTGGTACCCCACATTTCTTTTTGAAATACCGCACTCGCCAATAACTTACAGTATGTATGTTTATACAAGAAAAATAAATTTGAAATTTTGATCAAAAAATTAGAATTTATAAATTGAAATGCATTACTTCCCTTATTTAGATTCACAAATATAGAAATTTTGAATTTCAACATGGAAAAATATCTTGAAATTTGGGACCTCCAATTCTCAAGTTTAAATTTTATGTAAATATGTGTCATTTTTACAAGTGAGAGTTTAAGAATAAAAAATTATGTGCTAATTTAAGTTAACCAAACAAGAAAATTCACAAATTCTAAAAAATAAAATTTCGTCAGTTCCATTTCCTTCAGTTTGAAATTCCTTAATAATCTTAAATTTCTTTATCCAAACACAGTGTTAATGTCCGCTTAATAATTATTTTGTTTTCATAGAAAAAAAAATAAGCATTTTTTCTTAGGAAAACTAATGAAAATAACTTGAAAACTTTGAATTTTAACGAAAATGACAAAATAAAGGGTAAAGTGAATAGTACTATGATTGATTTTTTTAGTATAAAAATGTGGTTTTTCGTTAAAGTGAACAATACTGGGAATTTTTCGTTACAGTTTTTTTTTTTTCTTTAGCTTTTAATTATCCACTTTATTAATCGGCATAGATAGTACATAGGACAACACAAAACTATTCATCCCCAAACTTGGATATAAAAAACTAGAATAACATTTTAAAAAAAGACAAGCGACCTGATTAACATCACGAGATATACAAAATAATAGAAAAGAAAAACATAACAAAACTCCTAAGGGAGCTTTATATAGAGAAACAAAATTTTTGACTATATTTCAAGGAACTCTACTAGTTTTTAAACATGTCACTGAGAGATAAAAACAAAAAAAACTATTAAAGCCCAGCCCAACAACATTTAAACAATATTTTAAAATACCAGTCATACCCCCAAGGCTTTATGGTTGTTAATAAAGGAAGAGGATCCGGTCCGGATCTCTCTCATCAAAAGGCCCATGATTAAGTAATCCGGACCGTTGAAATTTGATCAAACGACTACAATTATTATAACTTTTAGAGAGGCCTCCTGTAACGCCTCGCCCTGAAATATTTATTTCAGAAAATAATATCGGTGATAGGCCCAAACTAAACTCTTGTTTATTTAACTACCATTAATCACGATTCTCTACTTTAATTTATTTTTCCCTCACAAAATTTATGATCAACATTTATTTACAAAAACATAAGGTTAAATCTCACATTATTCACCAAATTCCTTTTCTTAGTTCAATTTCTCAACCAAAGATTTGTCTCGATTATCTAAGGTTACATCTAACCCCTGTTAGACTGCCTACGTACCAATGAACGAGATCAAACCTTTCGTAGTTCACCATTCAATCTTAATTTATTTTCGATTATATTCCAAATAAACAAAATATCCTACATTAGTTATAATGATTGAAACACATCCAATGGGTACCAAAATGATATTTAAAATACCAAATTTGTAATTAAATGGCAACATCGGTCCAATGGCCACGCGCCGTCATGGGTGACGGTTTCCAGCGAACAGAAACCTAATTTTCCGATTAACTCTAAAAATTATAAAATTTTATAGGTAAGTAGAGTTCAATGAGAGAAACAACTTTCATATCTGGGCCGAAGTCCAATTCAGCCGGAAAACACCTCAAATCGCCCTTGAACCTCTGGAAACCCATGATTTGGGTGTTCTTAATTCGACTCCAAAACAGCTCCGCCGCCCCCAAACTTGCTTGGGCTTTGTTCTTGGGCTCAAGAGGATGTCATAGGTGGTGGTCATTGAAGGAATTTGTTTCAGAAATGGGAGAATCGATGGCAAGAACCCCCGCACCCACCATGCGGTTTCTCCCAAATTCAAGGCCAATTTCCCTATATTTTTGGGTGAAATTGGTAGAGGGAACGACTGGGTTCGAGGTAAGGATCATTTTGACACCGGTCCCGTTGTCAACGGTGGTCGAAATTGAGAGATATATCTGAGTTGGGTTGGCGGGTCGAAGAGGGGTTCGGTTCCCTTTTTCTCTTCTCCTTCCTTTCCCCTCATTTCCTCTCTTTCTGATTGGCCGGTCCCCTTCCTCCATTCTCTCATTTCTCTTCTCTCCTTCTCATTCAACAGTCTATCTCTCACTTTTCTTTTCTTTTCCTTTCATCCCAGCCACACACGTGGCATATCACATGGCTCTAGAAAATATGGAGCATTCTAAAGAAGGTTAAAATTACCAAAATATCATTGACTTTAAATGTTAATAACTTCTTCATTATAACTCCATTTCACAAACGGTTTGTGCCTACGCATTCGTGAGATCGAGCTCTATTCAAAAATACAAATTGTGACCTCGACAGGTCTACGGATTTTAGATAATTAATTTCCAAACTTCAAACTTCGTAACTAATTTAATTTAAAACTAGATTCAAATAAATTAATATAAATTCTCGAAAAATAATATAAAATCTCAATAATACAATTACATAAATTCTAATAATTTCAGTAACAAAATTTTTAAATTCCTCAATTAAATTTTCATAACCATAAATCGATTTATTTTCGATTTTCTCCACATATTCATAATTATTAATATTCTATTTCATATATTTAAATTTTCAGGGTATTACATTCACCCATGTTTGTAGTCGTGAGATCAAATTTCAACTGCCCAGATCACTTGATCCTAGGCCTTGGATGGGAGAGATCCGGACCAAATCCTCTCCCGGTAATAAAATCTAACCCTCAGAACTCTAACAAAATTAATATGTGCCAAAAGCTCAACTTATCCTCGACTATTTCTACATAATCAGTTTTGAAACTATATGCAGACTCAGTTTATATCCTTTTATTATTAGAATCAACTCAACTCGTCCTCTACCATTTTTGCAAGATCAGTTCAATCAATCCTTGATCATTTTTTGCAGAATCAGTTTTGACATGCCCCGATCCCGATATTCCCCGAACACCAGAATAGGCACGTACTGGCCAACACCGAAGGGTGACAAAAGCCATTTATTGAATGCAAATGCTAAAAACTATGAATATACACACACACACACACACACACACATATATGAGGCTTATAAATTTAAATATAATGAATATGCATTTAAAGAACATGTTCAGAGCACACATCTAATCTAAAACACTAAAAGAATTAATATAAAAATTGAATGAACAAGGAATGGGTCCTACACCGAGACGACTCGAAGATGCCAATGTGGAAGTGTCTTGATGCCAGGATTGTACGCCTTGATTCTAAGTCGTGAGGGGGTGCAAAACAAATATGAGTGGACCAAGTTGATATATGTAGGAATATTCCTCGGAATATTTTAGTGTTGGCTTTTTGTTGATTTTTTCAAAATTTACCCGAGACTCTTCTTAGGGTAATTCGACTTCCTGAATCCATTTTTTACGTCCGTTTTTCCTAATTCAATC